GCAACCACGTGCGTACAATTGACAAACTCACATAGGTTATGTTTACTACTTAAGAACAGCTGATGAGAGGGGTGTTATGTAAACAAACATGTGTACCAACTGTTGGTGATGAAATATTTCATTTGTTGAAAACTCAATATACATATATATAATATAATGATACTATATCTTGAAAACAAGAGCTAATATATAATTTTTATGGTCACTTTCGGTTTTAACACGTGGAAATACATTAAAATCATCTAATTTCTACCCCGAAACAAAAACTTTGTTGTGTTGTGTTATTTTTGAGGTAGGTAGTTGAAACCTTCCCAGTGGTGAAATTTACCTGCAAAGCCGTCCCAAGGAACCCAGAAATCGCCCTAGTGACATTGACAGCTGCCGTGATCAAGTTGCTTCTGACCAGCGATTCCGAGGAATCATCGTCCACACCTGGAACAGGGCTGAACCCTATCGGAGGTCTCGCAGGTTTGCGGGTAGTCTTAACCTCTACTTCAACACCGTTGACGTTGTTGCTGACTGTAAGCAGGGGGGCTCTTGTCACTAGTTTCCTTACTTGTCTTCGCTCAGTTGTTGATCTTATGAAGAAAGAATAATTAGGTGAAATAATAGCAAGGTAATTGAAAAACGAAGCTGAAAATGTAGAGGAACAAGATAATAATGAACTGTTGCCATTTCTGTGATAAATGAGAGTCCTGAAGGTTTTTGGGAATTCAGAAATACTGAGTACCTGCTCAGTATCTTTTATCGGGGTTGATGGACCGTCGCATGTGGGATTTTTTCGCTAGCACACTTGACTAGTTTCTTCAGAGGTGCTTCTGATGTCGGAAGTGAAACGAACGGTCCTCAAACTCGACGAAAGATGTTAACTATGGTAGCGAAAGCTTCACAACTTCTACATACTAAAAGTACTTCTATATACAAGCTTAGGAAAGTGAGGGAGATGATAGTAACTTACCTTAGGGTCGTAGTCGCTCTGGACGTAGTTCCATGCTCCCCATTGGTCATTACAACCACCCCCTCGTCAGAGTTGATGAGGTTCTGGATACTCTTGATCTGGGACAAGTCCAGGGAACCCTTAGAGGGGTCCTTCTGCAAACCCTCGAGCTGCTTTATGAGCTTGTGGATGTCTTCTTGGGTTAGGGCATTGGCAGCTTTACTCACGGTGGATTTTGGAGGGGTGGGAGTGACAACTGGGGTTATATGAGTTGGAGAGTTGGCCAAGAGTTCTTGATCGACTGGTGGCTTTTTGGGTTTGACAGGTTTGGCCGGTTTTCTCGTTGGGGTGGGTCTGGGAGCAGGTTTGGGAGCAGGTTTGGGAGGAGGTGCCAGAGCGTTTAAGAGCCAGTTGAGACCCTGCATTAGCGGACCAGGAGGTCTCTGAGTGGTTGGTTTGGGTTTAGGTTTGGGTTTTTTTGAAGTGGTTTCGAAAATGCCCTGGAAAGATGAACAGGTGTTGAAAATTATCGAAAACAGTAAGGTTTTGAAACGTCGTATTCCTGACGGATGTTGAAAAGAGATTGATTTATATCTCTTTCATATTATCAAGAAGGAAATGAAAAATAGTTCACATTTCATGTAAAAGTATAATCCCATTTATACATTATTTAATCGAATATTGAAATTTGAGAATCATTTTGAAAACTTGAGAAAGTGTGCTATGCAATGGGAGTTATTTTCAGAAAACTCATTTCATTGAGGAGGTAAGATCTGCCATCTATGAACAGGAGGACAAAACTCCCTAATGATGATGACATAGTTTAAACATTTCACATGAAACAACTCTATCCATTGTTGAACAACGCTATAACCAAAGCCATAACCGTTGTTTGAAGAAAAATCTCCAAACAACTCTGTCTGTAACGGATGTCATATCGAGTGTTAATCGTTGAATCAGCGGAGGAAATCATCATTGATCATTTACTTACCGCTTGCTTGATCTGATCTCCCAGACTTTTGGGGGTAGATGGAGCAATACCCTGGTCTTTCAAAATGGTTGCCAGGATTGCATCTGTGGACTTCCCGTAAGCCGTTGATTTCGGGGTTGAAGCAATGTCTAGATCGCTCAGATTGTACTGCTTCAGTACATCTTCAAAAGATGGCGTGTCCTTCTTCGGTTGTCTACTGGCATCAATGCTAGTGTCAACGGTACTTGCATCAATGGCTGCCAGTTGGTCTTGTATCGACGTTGGTATCTTGGATGTGGTCGTGGTAGTGGTAGTGGTTTTTGCAGTTTTGTCTCTTTCTAAGGCGAGTTCTATAACCTATGGATCAGAATATAAATATAGTGGTGGAAGAAATCTTCAATTTTGCCAGAATGTATTCTTTTATCTTTTGTACCTACCCTCTGTGCCAAATTGTTACTGGAAGGTTCAACAGATTTTCCGGATCTCTTTGGAGCAGCCTTGATTCCTCCCAAATTCTGAAAAAATAATCAATGTAACTGTCACTAGAAGTAAAACATTCCTTTTGTCTTGCCTTACCATCAAAAACGATAACTGCTTCAACAGAGCGGCTTGTTCTTCTTCCAGCTTCCGTAAAGTCTTCAAATTCTCCTTCTGCTCTTCTGTCAGCTGCTTCTTAGCCAACTTCTTCACAGTAGTAATCTCAATCGTGTTCAATTCAGTAGCAGCTTCACTCCTTCTGGTTGTTGAAGTTGCCGTGGTGGCTTGTAGAGTTGTAGTAGTTTGTTCAGTAGTAGTTGTAGTTAGCCTGGTTGTAGTTGTTTCTCTAGACGTAGTTGTAGGCAGCATGGTTGTCGTTGTTTGTCTAGTTGTGGTAGTTGGAATTGTTGTTGTGGTAATTGTTGTAGGCGCAGCCGTTGTAGCTTTTGTAGTTGTTCTTTCAGTTGTTGCTGGGGCTACAATTGAAAAGACTCTATCAGTTTCAGATTATTCACTGGTTCAGATCTGGGCAACGAGTAGGCCAATGCTTGTCTGAACCCCAATAGGAAGCGATTTGAACCTTACCTAAAGTGGTTGCTCTCGTTGTAGTAGCAGCGGGAGATATTGTTTCAGTAACGGATGGAGCTGCAGATATCCTTATTATTTGAGGCGCTCTAGTACTTCTCACCTGTGGTGCTGTAGTCAACGTTGTTTCGGTGGTGAACAAACCAGGAAACAGAGTGGTAAAGAAGGCAGGGTAGTATGTGGCGGTTGGAAGGTTGGTAACGGTTGTCGGAACAGATAATAAGGTCGTGATAGGAGTAGAGGTGTATCTCCGTTGTGTTGTGGCAGGAGCCGTGCTGGTTGTTGGAGGCGCAGTTGTTGTTGGAGGCGCAGTTGTTGTTGGAGGCGCAGTTGTTGTTGGAGCTGCCGTCGTTGTGGAAGCTGTAGTTGTTGTAGTAGTTAGGGTTGTTGTTGGAACTGTAGTAGTTGTGGTTGAGGTAGTTTCTTTTGGAGGCTGGTCTTCCAGAATGACGTTTGACAGTGTTACAGGTTCTTGTTGAGGAGTGGTGGATTGAACCTGAGAAATTAATGTTGATGAAATATTATTACAGAGATTAGGCAACAGTTTCCAAGAAACAATTTGGCAGAATATCGGATGATCAGTTACCAAAATACATCTTCCTTGACTAGTATTGAAATTCGATAGTGCATAGTGTAAGTGCCGGAAAACAAATAAAGTACATATGGTTCATGAATCAGGACTCAATTTGTTGAATTCTACTCAACCTTACAATACCTTAGATATATCTGGTGTACTGGCTACTTCGGGGATTATAACTGGGGATGTAGTACTTTGCTCAGACGTGGTGCTAGCTATGGTACTACTTGGAGGTGGTACCGTCGTTAGATTGAGCTAGAATGCGAATTCAGGACAGATAAGTAGACATAATGTGGAAAGTTTCAACTGTTCCCAACCCCAAAATGGTTATACTTTGTTAAATATGGACAAAAGGATGGAAAGAAACCCACAACGATAGTTGTGTTTCGAGAAATCCTTCCATTCTTATTGCAAACGCTGATGAACGCTATCCAATACGTATAAGCTGTAAACTATGACATCATGTGAAAGTTACTTCCTAAAAGGGAAACCCCTTGTGAAGCAACTGTCTCATTATGTTTTTACGCGTTACATGGATGAATGAGGTTTGTTGTATTCTGTTTTCCCAATCGTGAATGATTGTGGTGTCAGGTGTGGGGTGTGGTGTCAGGTGTGGGGTGTGGTGTCAGGTGTGGGGTTATATATTAAATGCTTGTTAGATGCTTATTGCTCGATATCGTACCACGGAAGGAGTTACATGTACTTCTTTTTAGACGGTTGTGCTCGGTATGTTCAGTGCCATTAGATATTAGTAAGCTGCAAGGTGAAGGGAGCTATGGAGCCATAGAGCTAAGGAGGTAAACTAGTAAACTGGTGGATCATTGCTAATCTTATTTTACACGTTTCAGAATGTCATAGATGAGATGTCTCACGGAACTGTACAGGTATTTTAGTGAGTCGTGGTCAGTATGAATTAGTTTCGAAAGTAACAACTAGAGCTTGCCTTGTTGAGGTTTGAAGATGTCGTCACTGGTTTCCCCCGGAACGCGGAATTGGTATTTTTCCCCATTATCAAGTCTTGTATGTTCAAAACTCCAGTGTACTACAGAAAATTGAAATGAGAAAAGAAAGAAGGTGAGGACTGGGAAATAAGCATCAACATTTTTTCGTGAATGTCACTAACAACTTCTCTCAGTTGCTCAAATTCGACAAAATGACAAAACCTGACTTTGAACTGTATTCCAATAAAATGTTGATACGATTGCAATTATATGATATACCTTCAGCGATTTAACGACTATGATATTTTGTCATGCAATTTATAAAACATGATAGTTGCTAAATATTTGAATTGAGCCCTTACACTTTTTCTCTTGAAAAGGTATGATAGACAGAAGAAAGATATTATCGATTATAGAAAAGTAACCCAAAGTTAAATAGAGAAAGAGGTGGAGTAGAAATATAGAGACATGTGTGAGTTGAAGTAATGTAATATTCATACCAGTAAAAGTATATCGAAGTGAACTAATGATGAAATGAAGGTATGAGAAATAATTTAGAAAACGCAACGGTACTCAAAAGTTTCTTAGAGAAATGAGGAAAGGGGTAGAACATAAAAAATAACCAGTGTGGTTTTCTGAAGTAGAACATAAAGCAGGAGAGAGTAGATATGGTAATATAAAAAAATAGAAATGGGTGAAAGAGAAAAGTGGTATACAAAAATGAATATGCCGTGGTGATATAGAGTATGGTGAATAAATGGAGATCATGGTGATGGGCAACAGTAATGTAGGTGAGTAAGATGAAAGAAATCAGACTAGTTCTATTTTTGTCATAACAACAATGAAAAATGGGAGATGAGATTATGTAAGAGTAGTTTATCATAGAACGAAGTGAGTTTGATCAGGATAGAGTGAAGAAATGAGAGTAGCAGGAGTTGAATATGGTAGAGCATGAGAACAGTATGTATTGTCCATATACTGTCAATTGACGAAAGTTTCACTAACCAAGTTAGCATCATCAGAAAATAAGTAGAACTGAATCTTACGACTGGATGAGAGCTTTTATATGAACATGTTTGAATTTTAATGACCATCTAACAATGATAAGTAATATTCACCTGTGAAAGAGTAAACAATGGCTATTTTTGATTTGAGGACACTCATTCACAAACAATAAACTATCTGAAGGATGTTTTAGAAATGAATCAACTATGCGTTTAAGAATTGAGGAGTCCACTAATATTGGTCCAAATTTTCGGAAAATTCAACTTGAAAGTGGCTCGTACACTCCATTATTATTGCATAACCTACGACGGAAAAAAGTCTGGAATTTATGGAATAAGCTGTTGGTCAAAATGAGCGGACTGTAATACCTCTCTATAAGAAACATTTTTCAGACTTTCGGTTTCTTACACCAGTAGTGTCGCTCACAAACAAGTGAGGAATGCTTGAATTGTTGAGACTAATACAAGACAAATGGTTTTCATATTTTTTCGAAGGTAAAGAAATCGAAAAATAACAGTCTGTTGTTTACTTTTTCAGGCAATAATTACACATGGAAAGTTCGGGATCATTCAGTCAGATGCATATAAAAGCTTCGAGTTGTCCGATCGGGTTTCACTCACCTCCTTAGGATGCTTGATTAGCGAAGCACTCGTCAGTACTTTTGTTCTGGCGTGGCAAAAGTGTTTTCAGAGGTACAACTTCCACACATCAATTTACGGTATTTTTGAAATGAGGAGAGGTTTTTTGTTTTGGTGAAGGAGGACAGTATATAGAAGAATAGGATAGGTAAAATTATTATAGATATGAAGGAGTAAACTCCATATGGGAAGGTAGATTAGGTAACATTAAACCTTATATCGTGATTAATCATTTCTTGCTAATTTTGTTATTGCCATTAGTTAACAGAACAGGGTGAGTTTTATAAAAATTGTACTACCCTATCGAGAGAAAAAGTGCACACGATGAAATTCAAACCTGCTGAATACTCAGACAGTAAGTGAAAAAGAAAGGAATATGTTAGACTGTCAGTTTAAAGAAAATGAATTGATACTGATGATGTAATCCACGTTCATAGCAGTGGAAGAACGACGTGAAATAATATGGAATAGAGTTTATAGAGTGACAAAGCAGAAGAGAGTACCTACATGTCTCTACTATTCCAGGTGGAATAGATATAAACTAGACCAACAACTTGTTGCTTTCCCAGAATATAGATACGTAAAAAATTTCAAAACCTATCAGTATCAATCCATTCACATCTGTATCAACTCGAGTGCAGCTCACGAATCTTACCTGATTACCCTCTGGTGTTTGATTTGTATCAGTGTCTGGGGTACTACTCTTTACGCTATTAACGATGTCGTTGTATGCATCCAAAGTTCTGCCGTTCAACAATAATTGGGATAGCGTTTCCAGCGTAGGATTAGTATCGCTTTCCGAGGTAGTACCCGAATCGAGTGGTACCAATTCTGTGGGAAGAGCACCGACAGCAATGGGTGCAGTACCAATCTCGGTCGTGGTAACCTTGGGGGCGCTGGGAGCACTACCGGAACCCAAGGTAGTACCACTCGAAGCAGTACCACTAGTAGTCGAGGTAGTACCACTCGTTGTAGAGGTAGTGTCACTCGTGGTTGAAGTGGTACCGCTTGTAGTAGAAGTAGTACTGCTTGCGGTACTGGAAACCGTAGACGCGGTTGTACCTTGGGTGCTGATAGTACCACCTGTGTCTGGAATTGCGAATCTAGTTTCTGTGCGTAGGGTTTTTGAGGTGCGGCTATTTGGAATGTTAGTTTCTGGTGTTGTACTGGTGCTGACGCTGTCTACTGACAGTTTGTTTGCCACAATCGTCGGGATGGTACTTTGATAGGCCTAAAATTTCCAAGCAAAAAAATGATGGTGAGACAAAGGTTTTCATGAATGCTTCATCCCCACTCTTGACTGGCCTTGAGCTTGTTTTATGCGGTTATCTCGTAAATAGAGAAATGGTGATTGGTTAACACACTTCGAGAGAGAATAGATGGAAAATTAGAAACACAGATTCACAAATGAAAGTATTTACAATCAGGAAAGAGATTGGTTGAGTGAAGTGTATAGTACATAATTTTACAAAGGTCTTGAAGGGCTATGTTCGTTTTCGGTACCATTTCTGTATTTTGGGTCACTTGAGCTTTAGCTGAGGAAGTCATTAGGGTAGAAGAGATAAATTTGTCTGCGGTTTTGATACAAATAAAAATTTTCGATAAGCCTCCTTCATATTGATAAATGTTGAAAAAAACTTTGGCAACGTAACATCACATAATAACCGATCAGAACAAATATATTCTTCCACTCACTCTTAACACCAAACGTGATTGCTCAAATTATTTGCGTGCAGGTTCACCTTCCCTTCACCATTTTATATACAAGGCATGCAGAACAAACATCAAAAAATATTATTCACAAAAATTTTAAAACGGTGCAAGAGTGTCAAGCTCAGGGTGCAACAAACAAGAAAACCACTCAAGTGACCTCTTTGAAGCTCTCGAAGCTCCATCTGGCTTGGTAGAGGTCAAATACGCTCGAAAACTTCGTGTTACCCCGATCTTAGCACCTCAAGGGTGAAAATTCAGTTGTGGCCTACTCTGCCACCAGATTTAAACCCTTCTTGCTACTTTTGGAGATATTACGTTAAAAATCAACAGTACCACGAAATTTCCTTCAAGTAAGCCTCTCTACCTCGCCAGTCCTCAACCAATAAAAGTTATGTAGTACCGTTCGGATTCTACTATCCTGAGAACCTCCTTGATCATTGGTTACTTGGTTACTGGTTATTTCTGGTAATGGTGGGGGGTTTTCCCGAGTATCGAATCCCCTTACCCTTATGATCTGTTCCATTGGAACGATAGTACCGTTCGGGTATTTCCGTACGACGGTGTTGTTTGGATAAACACCTATTATGAGGTAGGGGGTGTTCTTATTCGGTACTGTAGGAGGCTTCTTACGCAAGATAGTGTTATCATTGAGTATCGCGAAGATATAGTAGTCGGGAGTTGTGGAAGTAGTAGTACTAGGAGTGGAGAATTCAATGCTGTTTTGAACGGGGTCGGGATCAAAATTCAACAGTCTACCGGACCTGTTAGAGAATTCGTTAGAGGAGCTGCTCGGACTGGTACTATTTACAACTGGGGTACTACTCGGCGTAGAACTACTACTCATCGTCGTGATACTTTCCTTGGTGGTGGTCATCATTTCTTCTTTAGTACTGATCTCCGTAGAGACAGGTTCGGCAGTAGCGTCTTCGGTAGTGGTACTACTTTCAGTAGTACCGATATTATCAAAGTTTGATCTACTGGCTATTGTTACGGTTGTAGAGAGGTTATCTTCGTGAGTGATGGAGTTAGACAAATCGTTAGCAGAGAATATAGAAACACTTTCCGGGCTCACTTGGAATTTAGAGAGGGAAGGCAGAGTAGATAGGAGAGAAACAATAGTGTCGGTGGTACCGCTGAGATCTACTTCTGTCGTTGAGGGAAACGAAGCGGCTTCAGAAGTGGAAGCTCCTCCAGCTTGGGTTATAGCAGGAGGTGGGTTTGCGGTCATCTGACTTTCTGTGGTGGTACTAGAAGTACCTAACATATCTGGTTCCCCACTGCGAACGTCAATGAACACAGTGGTGGCGTCAGGTTCTGTTGATGTGGCTGGGAGTGATGGTGCCATAGTGAAAGACACGCTATCAGGAGTGAGTCTAGTGACCTCAGAAGGAGCGGTGGTTGAATCAGACCGGGTTGCACCTGAATCAGCCAAGGCCATAATGGTTGTAGCAGCATTTGTCAAAGTGCCACTGGTGGATGATTCTATTTCATTTTTGGGTGTGATAGACTCAGAAATATCGGTAGAAATTGATGATATCACTGAGGATAATTCCAATTCGTTTGTTTCAGGGGTAGTAGGTTCAGATATAGTTGTAGAGGAGGGGGGACTGGAGGCATCGTTAGAGAGCAACTCAATTTCGTTGCTGATAGTAGAGTCAAAGTCAGAATTTTTGAGAGTAGTAGATTCCAGTTCGATTTTGGAGGTGCTGGAACCGGAAATATCAAAGGAAGTTGACGGAGCTGAGGATATTTCTTCGTTCGCTTTTGGGGTGGAAGACTCGGCTATGGTTATGGAGGAGATGGAACTAGAAGTGTCAGTGGAAGACAATTCAATTTCGTTGCTAACAGCAGAGTCAAAGTTCGGGTTTATGGGAGTAGTAGATCCCAATATGGCAGTGGAGCTGGTGGAACCAGAAACATCGAAAGAAGAGTCTATTTCATTGCCAATACTAGAATCAGATTTGGGGCTTTTTTGAGTGGTGGAGTCAAAGAGAGTCGTGGTGGGAGCAGTACCAGGTACATTGGTGGAAATCAAAGGAAGCGCCGTGCTTGAAATTGATTCGGTGGATATGACCATTTCGTTGTTTGTTGTGGAGACAAGATTAGCGCTTTTCGGTGTTACAACAACAAGTTCCTCCGGAGTCTCCGTCGTAGATATCAAGCCGTTGAGTATTTCTAGAAGTTTACCGATGGCACGCTTCTCAAGGACTTGTTCCGTGGTGATTTCGTCCAAGACACTCACAGGGTTGACGGTGGTGCTAATGTGCTGGGGGAGAGTGTTTCTACTTGTGATAGTTTTAGCTGAAGGAGTGGTGGAGAAGCTCAGGGTGTTAAAATCGGTACGTACTTGAGCAGAGCTTGTATTGTCCGTTGCCTGAATCGCATTCAGGGAGCTCAGAATTCTTTCGATAATCGTAGTAGGTTTTTCTGTGGTCGCTTTGTCTGTTGTCGCGTACGTCTGCGTTATGTCGTTAGAGTCTAGTTGTTTAGTCTTTTTGGGCGCCAGCTTGAGGATGGCCGAAGCCGATTCTGTGGTACTGGCGGTACTTGGGGGAGCCGGTGGGGGTGAGCTTGTGGATATCGCCGTAATGGAGTTTATGATCCGTTCTATTATTGAGATTGGTTTTTCCGTAGACGTGTCGGTGACCTTTGGGAGAAAAGTAAGTTATTTTCAACGATCTTGCGTGTGTTTGAGAGTTGTGTTACCAATGGCAGAGCGACAGAGAGGGAGTTTGCTGTGGAGGAGATGTAATCGTCACTGATCAGGTTGGCCGATTGAACGGGTTTGACTGGATCGTTGAAAGATATCACTTCGAGTCCCAGGTCGGGGTCCTTCGCTCCTGTTTCGATTACCTGGAAGTTTTCAAGAGTACAGTGGTGCTGTGATTCAGGCGAGATGGAAATATGTGCCCCTCTAACCATTTGAATGATTTATAGTCCTATAATGTTTATATGATTCTGCCAAGAGTTTGTATCCACCTCTGATGCTGATAATGTAAATTTCATTTGTGTGAAAGCCTAAAATTATAAACTACGTGGCTGCAGGATTCTTATATCAGGAAACACAAAACTTTTGTTCGGATGGATTAGGATTATATACGTTTGTTTGTGATGTTTGCCAAAAATCTTATATTGGCCAAACGGAAAGAACATTTTCCCAAAGAATAATAGAGCTTAAGCGTAGTTTTTTTTCAATTCATATTGCAAACTACATTTTGAGTTCAATGTCAACTATGAAGTTTTACATTTAGGAGGGGAAGATTGAAAACTCATTCCTTTGGAATGTTTCGATTCGATAGATTTGAGAATACGGAACATTCACTGAATGACAAAACTGAATAAGCCCCCTCCATTGAATCTGTTCACTAACTATGAAATTGATATTTAGTTGATACGTAAATATAGGTAAATTTTTATTATGTGACCATAAAAATGAGTTTGTTTCAAACATAGTAGTCAGACTCTAGATTGTATTATTGACTGTAGACTGTAGTAGTCAGACTTATAGCCTTTTTCAGACTGTATGGTTGACTGTATACTATAAACTGTATCTACACCATAGACTGTATGCTGTAGATTATGGTAATCAAACTGTAGTCGTCACACTGCAGACTGTATTGTAGATTTATCTGTTGACAATAGACTATAGTAATCAGACTGATTTGTTGACTGTATACTGTATTGTTTACTGTAGACTGTGTCACTGACTGTAAACTGTTGGCTGCTGACTGTTTATTGTAGACTACAGTAGTCAGGCTGTAGACTGTTTTGTACAATGTATTATTGACTATATATTGAAGAATGTATGCTGTAGCCTATAATAGTCAGACAGTAAACCGTTTTGTAGACTGTTTCGTTTATTGTAGACTACAAACTGTATGCTGTAGATGATAGTAATCAGACTGTAGTAGTCAGATTATAGACTGTAGACAGATTTGTTAATTTAAGACTATATACTGTAGTCTACTGAACTGTCTACTGTATACTATAGACTGTAGTTAACTACCTTCATACAAACAGACTGTAGTAGTCAGACTGCAGCAGACTATAGTAGTTAATCCGTAAACTATAGTCTGTATGACGTAGACTATAGTAGTTCGAGACCGCATAAAACCGAAGGAACAAAAATTTTGAATTCATCTGCATCGATTAGAAATTAAGGTGGTTGAGATTCGATATGAAAAGAGTTAGTAAATTCTCCACTCAATCCTTTTATGTTAACAAGATGCTTTCACCAACTTTGTGATAATTTATTCACAAATTGTTGGTCAGAAATTATTGATTGATTAGAAATCTTGTTGTGTTAAGTTTCACGGCCGTTGTCTAACAAATTGTCCGATATTTCTGGGTTTATTAGCCGTGGACTGCAGGTTTTTATACCTGACGTTTCGTCTGCTACTGCGGCAGACATTGCGAAAGCTATGCGGCCACGGTTGGATCGATCTAGGGCTAGTTGGATTTTGTAACGCTGCAGGCACAAGTCACGATGAAAAATTCGTACTGCGATGTCTTTGTATTGCATGGACAGCCACTGTTTTCGCCTGCATGATATAACAAGGGTTATTTTTAGCTTGCCGTGCTTGACAAGTTCCTGGATGGTAATTCAACCCAAATGTGGAAGGCCCCCCACACTTGGCTTCAACAACAACGTTCGTTATCAATTGGCCGGATAGCTTTAGTTGCTGAGGCCACTGAATCGAAAAGAAGAAGCAGAGCACGGCTAATAAACACAGAAGCATCCGATAATTTGTTTGATTGAGAATCTTTTGGAATATGAGTTATTTCCATCCGACAAACCAATTAATTTCTATGTACAAAATAAAGAAAACTAATATGTATGTGCCATGAGTTTTATTGAAAAATATAGAAAGTATAAAAATAAAATAGTACACCTCTCTCTTAAAACTAATGTTATTTACATAAATATAAAATGAAAGTGTAGAAAATGTCTAAGTTTACTATATATACGGAGTGCCTGTTTTATCGAGTTCAAGGTTCATCAGTGTTTTAACAACATCTCTACTTCAACAGAAAATGGAGTTTGTGGATTGATTGCATAAACAACCGACATGGATTTTAAAATTGTTCTGACCACTGATATTTTTGTTAAATTCATCCTAAATAAACGAAAAGCGAACTCATTGCTAATATCCAGGAAGCGGCCATTGTTTTTTCAAAAAACAGGTTTGTCAACAGAGGAAAATCTTGAATCAATTCGCCTTCAAAAAGTCTCTTCCACTCAATAAATCTCTCTCTATGAACTCAGGCTCCCAGACACACTGTATATATGACATGAATATAAGAATGTTTAGTATCGTGTAGTAATGCCATGATTGGTTTCAAACTGTGTTATTTCAAATAGTTTGATTTTGACACAAAAACGAAAACACCTCGATTTGAATTCAGTCTTTTTCAAAAATACTGTTACAAGTTTTTTATCCAATGATAAACAAAGATTTCAGTTCTAACTGTGCCACGAAAAGGCATCGATATTTTGGAATCGAATCACAGTTTGAAATAACAGTGCAAGAATATTATTATTATTATTTGTTCCAAGTGGAACACGGACATAACCTATTATAAACCCTTTACCAAGAATGAATTCATAAGATTTGCGTAATTCAAAACCACTGAAAAGAAATGCAATGCTTGAAGTTTCATAATTATAGTGAAAGAAAGTTAACGTATTCATAATTCTAATATTGAAGTTGGAGGAGTTCCTCAGAGTTCCATACTCGACCCCATGATCTAGGTATTGATGAGAAACAGAACTATCTGATTTCGTAATATCTGGAGACTAAAAACTGTTGCTTGAGGCAATTTACAGCTGATTTCATGTAAGTGAGTGGAATAGTCTGATTCATTTCATTTTACATATCCAACTAGTTACAGGGTGTAACATAAATACGTTGAAATATCCAAGTGACGTATTCCTGAGACGATTAAAAAAAAGTCTATAGGAACTTGTGTCCGAAAATGCTTCGTTTCGGAGATACGGGGTGTTGACATCGAATATTTTTTTTCGCTTTTTGAAAATAACTCTTGCAAAAGTAAGTTATTTGTACGAAATTTGGTAACTGGGGATTATTTGACGTGGGAAATCATAATTTCGTATTAATTTTCATGTAGAGGGCGCTGCGTACGCTGTCATTATTTATTTCAGATTGCCCTAACTTGTTTGACAGTAAACTTTTGGTACTTTTCATGAAAAAACCTTATTCCCACACCTTTTCCAAGTAAAAAAGATACACTTCCTCAACAACGCTGGAGGTGATCGTTTTCGATCGTTTTCGATACTTAAAATTTTCTATATCGATACATATTACTTCATAGCCAAATTTGATTTCAATAATTTTTGTCACCCTCCGCTTGCGAATTAAGTTAATTGAATCGAGTAGGTTATGAAAGTTTGTTTATAAAAATAAAAGTTCGCTGTCACATTTTAACTACTATTAATTGACAAATTCACAGTTCGGAGTTTATAAAGTGATTTTTTGGTAGCATGCTCGACTTTACAAATGCTGAAATGGCTGATATGGTTTTTGCATACGGCTTGGCTGACGGAAATTCAAGCGAGGCCAGACGCACCTATCAGGAAAGATATCCCCAGCGCGTGACTCCTTGTGCAGCGACATTTGCGAATCTTTTCCGGCGACTTTCCGAATCTGGAAGCTTTGAAACAAATTCTGCAGTAGGACGGCCACGGACTACAAGAACTGTAGAAAATTAGAACATCCGCAAATTTTATCGAAAATCCTCTTCACAGATTAGGCTAATTTTTCAAGGAATAGTATCATGAACTTCCATAACAACCAAATCTGGGCGGAAGATAAACCACATGCGATAACGCAAACTCATTTCCAAGACAGATTCTCTTCCAATGTATGGGTAGGCATAATTGGGGATTATTCAATTGGGCTCTATTTTCTCCCCTCACGTTTGAATGGAGATGCTTACCTACATTTTTTGGAACACGAGCTTCCCCAACTTATGGAAGATGTTCCCATTGGTGTCCGAAATCACTCTTGGTTCATGCACAATGGAGCTTCTGCTCATTTTAGTGTGATAGCAAGACATTTTTCAGACGTAGCAGATCCCCAAGGATGGATAGGAAGAGGAGGAACTGAGCATTGGCCCCCGAGGTCACCGGACCTCAACCCTGTCGATTTTTTCTTTTGGGGACACCTAAAATCACTAGCTTATGCTAGCCCCATTGAAAACGAAGGAATGTTGAGGGATCGCATCATAGCTTGCTGCGAAACGATAAGAAACACTCCGGGCATTTTTCAACGGGTGCGGAATTCTTTGATGAGGAAAGCAGAAGCTTGTATTATTGTTGGGGGTCGTCACTTTGAACAGTTGTTGTAATAGTTGTTTCGTTCAATTTTTCTATGTGTATTTTCCTAATAAATAACATAGTAATTCTCCGAATTGTTTTTTTTACAAACTCCGAAATGTAGCACTTTCTAATTGAATAATCAAACCTGGCAATTTTTTAAAATTTGGATTGAATAAGCAGTTCGATAATGCTCAGTTTAAAAGAAGTCTGTACGGGTATACTGCGTATAAAGTTTGATGAAAGTAACTAAAGTTGCAAAAAACTTATGACAAAAACCTACCATATTCTGAAAAATTTCAACAATCTCTATTTCGAAAGCGAACCATTCTTCGTTAAACATTTTATACGAAAACGTTGTTTATTTTGACAAGATCCACCACATACTTAGTTTTTGTAATGTTCTCAGCAACAACGTACGCAGCGCCATCTAAATGTTACATGAAAATTAATACGAAATTATAATTTCCCACGTCAAAAAAACCCGGGTTTTATTTTCAAAAAGCGAACAAAAAAATTCAATTTCAACACCCCGTATCTCCGAAACGAAGCATTTCCGGACACAAGTTCATGAAGACTTTTTTTCTTAAAATTGTCTCAGGAATACGTCACTGGAATATTTTACCGTACACTCTGTATATTGGAATCATTCTGTATGAAGGAACGAACTGACAAGGTCCAAGTTAACAACCCTGCGAACTCCAAACCTTTTGATGATCAAGACTTTTATTCGTCAAATGTGATTATTATCTGAATTGAACCCATGTGTTTTTGGTTTTGAATGTACGCATCCGAAAAGTGAAGACATATCTCTATATCGGTGTGAAGTGTATGGAGGAAAATCGCAGAAGAGCAGATAGTAGAAGGACAGTGTCGGTGAAAAAGAAGATATTCGTCAGATTGTTCTAGAGAGTGACCAGTTGTAGTCTATCACATCCTTTGACCAAGAACTTGCCTTAGGACAAAGAAAAAGTCGCTTAGTTCGAGTGAAAGGCGTACTATTTCATTTTTTGCAAGTTTCGAAGACCCATGTAACATTTGGAAGACAAAAGTTAGTTTTGTTTGAGATCAAGTGATCGGCCCCTGTTGCTCAGGCCATGAATAAAAGAAGAAGAGGAACTGTACGTTCTGTGGTCGTGTGACAGTGCTGACACTCATGGGTCTTCGACACTATATATGTCACTTACCGTTGTTCGAGGAGGAGTCACTGTTGGCACTGTTGGTATGTACGGGGCCGACGGGATTGTTGGAATATACCTTGGAGGGTTAGTTGTGGAACGTATCACTGCTCCTCTGGAGAATTCATTTCTGAATTTGCCGCGTTCCGAACTTCTGAAAGACGTCGAGTATTTCGGGATCTGTAACAGTAGTGGAAGAAGAATAATCTGCTGAGAACTGAAAACGGATTTGAAGAAATTGATGGTGGAGATGGAAAGTTATAATGGAAAAGTTTTAGCTGAAGCGTAAGATGGTTCAACAACTGATAATAATAATAATAATATGCTTTATTGTCCAAAGAACATTAGGTCTTATTGACAAAGCTAAAAATTTTCATCAGTCATTATAAACATATATAAATAGATAAGTACTATTCTGATCATTCCTATATTGATTCCAATTTAAGAGCAACCGGTAGACAGCTGTTTCAGTCTGCTCGGCGTCGTCAGTACCGGGCAGGCAGTACTCAGTTGGAGTCAAAATGTGAATAACCAAAAAAAAGTACTTAATAAAAATAGCTGTGTAAACGCAAGCGAGACATATAAGTGGAACCACCTATTGGTGTGACACCCAAGTCAACTTGACAAGTTTTTATGTCAGTGTTGGTGGTTTGACAAATCAACCGACAACTGTGGCAGCAGAAATTTGGGATGCGCTTGCGCAAATACTGCTAACTGACCCTCATTGACTGATGTCGAACGAATCGATTTCCATTGTTTACACTAGCCTTCACGCATATTTCCTTGAAATTTCACCCACATTCGGTACGTTTACATATTGATCAGAAATTATTGTAGTCGAAAGTACAAAATTTGTTTTTCAGCATCGTTGACGACATATTCTACACTCTGAGGCTGGAACACTTTGTCTTGAATGTGTAAATTATTCAACTGCTTGAGAACCATTTTCTTTTTCTCATATAATTGAATATCATTACTTATTTGTTGGACACGTATCTCAAATTCCTCTACTTTGAAATGTCATTGTCGAATACTTCACCCCCCCCATTGCCCGCACGTTGAATCCACAACCCGTAACCCCTTTACTCTCTTGGGTGTCCTCTTTCTCCTGATGACGCTAACTTGGTTAACAAAGATACGAGAATTAGTGCTTTTTTGGCATGTTGGAATGCTACACTTACTGCTTTTTTTTGTTGTCGAAAGATG